TTTAGAATCAAGCTGTATTACAATATTAGAATTCCTTTATTATGCCACTATATAGCTGGTGAAGAAATAGAGAGTTGTTTTAATTCTGATTGATAACTACGTGTGTGTTGTGAATGCACAGGTCCTGAATGAGGCTTCAGAGGAGGATAATCTAATAGATTTGGGCCCTGCTTCTCCAGCAGTGGTCACTCCTCGGGTCAGCACTGCTCCCACATCCACCCTGCAGCCTCCTCCTCCTGCTGCTGCTGCTGCTGCTGCTGCTCCTGCTGCTGCTCCTGCTGCTGCTGCATCTCTCTCCACACAGCTGGCAGGACTTGGTGAGGGTCTCACGAGCACATCTTAATTAGGATGACAATATAGACTCAGTACAGCCAATAAACCTTAAAATCAGTTAATTTAAAACCATATACATAAACAGAAGTATTTAACATGATTTTTTTTCATGACTTTGTCATGATTTACTCCCGGTAGAAGTGGGTGCAGACAGCGTCACCGGGACTCTCAGCTCTCTGACTGCTCACAACCCTCAGGACGACTTTGACATGTTCGCCCACACCAGGTCCAGCTCTCTGGCTGACCAGCGCAAAAAGTGAGTGCCATTTCCACACCACTATAGTTTAACCACATTAAAAAAAACAACTCTAAACTATTTTCTCTGCTTATTTCCAGCGTTAAATACGAGGAACCTCAGGCTCTGGTGGGCCTGGCGTCTGCTTTAGACATCAGACAGCAAAATGCCACTGGGGTGAGTTTCTTACTGCATGTATATTGATAGTGATGAAGGGTTTGGGTTTTGTGGGGTGCTAATGGCTGACAAGACTCTCTGATCACTGCATGTTATTACTTCACTTAGACCTCACTGTTTCTCGGAAGATGGGGACTCGCACTAGTTTTGAATGGCAAATTTAACACATTTCTAGTCCTCTGCCTTTGCATGTCATTCGTTGTCACTTTTTGGCATAAAAATGCTCCTGTTCTCATGTATTGGCACTATGAGGTCTTTATGGAAGAATATAAGTTGCTGCCTTCATAAGACCACAGTGCTATGTATATTCCTTACAAAATGCCACTACAATAATTGTTGCTGTAATTAAAATGTGATGATTGTTATTAGCCACCATTAAACGTAATGTCAAAAAAGTTGTTCTAAGTTTCTACACTCAGAAAAGTACAAAGCTGTCTCTGGGGTAATACCACAAGCTAAAATGTACAAATTTGTGCTGTATTTGGCCGAGATACAACTATTTGAAAACCTGGAATCTGAGGGTGCTAAAAAATCTAAATACTGAGAAAATCGCCTTTAAAGTTGTCCAAATGAAGTTCTTAGCAATGCATATTACTAATCAAAAATTACGTTTTGATATATTTACGGTAAGAAATTTACAAAATATCTTCATGGAACATGATCTTTACTTAATATCCTAATGATTTTTGGATAATTTTGACCCATACAATGTTTTTTTGGCTATTGCTAAAAATATACCCAAGCGACTTAAGACTAGTTTTGTGCTCCAGGGTCACGTATTAGTACTTTAAAGTACATATTAGTACCTTTTGAAAGGGCATTGCCCCAGTGACAGCTTTGTACCTTTTTTTCTGAGAGTGAAACACAGTTTCAGTGTCAGTGACAAATAAGGGTGTCCACAATAAAGAAAAGGAACATCTTTGTCATGGTCACACCACATCACTTTTTGAGAACGTTTTTCAAATATTTTGTTTTGTAATAAATAATATATAATATTTAAATAATTAAATAAATGTAAAATAATCACATGTACATAATTATTAAAGCATATGCCAAGTTATTTAATAAGGTTTTCATTCTTTTAAAGGGATGAAAATTCTGTCATTAATTACCCTCATGTCGTTCCAAACCCGTAAGACCTTCGTTCATCTTCAGAACACAAATTAAGGTATTTTTGATGAAATCCGAGAGCTTTCTGACCCTCCATAGACAGCAATGCAACTGACACGTTCAAGACCCAGAAAGGTAGTAAAGATATTTTTAAAATAGTCCATGTGACATCAGTGGTTCAAGAGAAGAAATTGTTGAATTAAGTTGTTATTTTTGTTTTCTTTGCGCACAAAAAGTATTGTCGTAGCTTCATAATATTACGGTTGAACCCCTGATGTCACATGGACTATTTTAATAATGTCCTTACTAGGGCTGTCAAAATGGCTGAAAAACTAAATTCAAATTTTTTTCTTAAATATTATCAATATTCGAATTCTATTCGAATTTAAAAGGCATAATTTCAGTTAGGGGGGAAAAAAGCTTTTGGCTTCTCTCCTGAGGCCACAAGAGGGCACATTGAGCAAAATATTATGCACGTTTCATAAGCATAATAAAATAACACGACTATCTTTGAAAAAAGTGCATAATGTTTAAAATAATGTTTATAAACCATATATAATTAAGTTGCTTAAACAATTAGAAACAAATCAGCATCATGCATGTATGTATAGTTTAATACAAAGGACCGAAAACCAGTCACAAAGAATACTTTCTTCATTTAAAAACTTGCATTCTTCATTAAAAAAGATGCAGTAGGATGGGGAAAACCGCCAAAAAGTCTTGAGACATGTTTTTTAAAAGTTGAACTTACATTAATTTGACATAGCTTTCTAAACATGCGGCTCTCTTGTGCGAGACGCGAGTGCAACGGTGATCGATGTCCCTCTAGAAAATGCGATAAATATGCGTTTTGTTTGAATGGCTTGGTTTCGGTTTTGACGTCAACAACATCTTCCCCGCATTGATTGTTCTCTTTTTCTGCAATATTTTGAATGAACATCGTAGCAGCACCGCATCTAGTGGGTTCAACTGGATTTGACAGCCCTTACTGACTTTCTGTGCATTGATCGTGTCAGTTGCATTGCTGTCTATGGAGGGTCAGAAAGCTCTCGGATTTCATCAAAAATATCGTAATTTGTGTTCTGAAGATGAACGGAGGTCTTATGGGTTTGGAACGACATGAGGGTGAGTAATTAATGGCAGAATTTTAATTTTTGTGTGAACTATCCCTTTAAGAATTTAATTCTTTTAACAAGGCTTTTGTATCACAGGACAGTTGTATCATCTTGCCAACAACAACAAAAAAACCTTTGCACTGAATTTACACACGATCATCCTCAGTCAAGTGGTGTGTTCAAGTTATTGTGTGTATCATTTTATATTTATTTATGAATAAATGAATAGATCTGGGCACAAAAGGAGCACCAACTCATTGACCCTTAAATAAGATCCCTTATTATTCTATTAGTGGCAGTTTAAGGCAGCCAACTCAGTTTTTAACTTGAACACAAAAACATGTTTTTGAATAAACTTAATATAAAAAATTATTAAATAAAATATAAATAATATGAAATACTCTCTTCAAGAGTGATATTAGGAAATTATTATAGACTGATTGTATCTCTGGTACCAGACATGCATGTGTTGAAATCAGCCAAGGTTACATAACGGACGTGGTTTAGAGGTGCAATTCATAGCGATCAGCCCATGGGTCAAAGTTTACACCTCTTTTTCCCCCTCTTTGTTTGTTTGTTTTTCCACTCCATCTACCTTAGTTCATTGACTCAAAGTTACTTTCTCTTGCCTTAAATGACACACTTCAGGTCTCCTGAAGACGGAGGTGTATTTGTTTGTGGTGGGTGCTTTGTTCTTCTTCACATCTGTAAGGTGTTTTCTGTTGTTGATTTAGCCGAATGTAATAGGTCCTAACGCTGAGTTGGAACCCATAGACAGCTGGCTCATTACCCAAGGAATGGTGAGGATTTCACCAGAACCACTGTCCCCTCCGTGTCCACCCACGTCCGTTCACTCAGCCCTGACCTCGATCTCCATCCCTTACCTCCCACCACCACTAAAACACACCCACAGTAAAAGGGAGAGGCGCTCTCTCACAGCCTGCTGCGGTGATCCTGATTTGATATGCGGAGGAGCCGCTCGCATGTGTTAAGAGATCAGCCAAACATGAAAAATTTGGCTTTATTTACTCGCCCTCATGTCGTTCCAAAGTTCTGTGCTGTTATTTTTCCAAGAAAACAGCTCTTACATGAGAGTTTATAATGACCACAGCTGTCAAACTCCTATAAAGGTATATAGTGCAACAGTCGGGTTAAATAAGTACAAACTACATTCATTTTCTCTATAGGAAAATTTACTTTTTTAACTGATAAACCTTTAAATGAAAACTTCACCCAAAAATCTAAATGCATTCACCCTCAGGCCATCCAAGATGTAGATGAGTTTTTCTTCATCAGAACAGATTTGGAGAAATTTAGCATTACATCATTTGCTCACCAATGGAGTGAATGGGTGCCGTCAGAATGAGAGTCCAAACAGCTGATAAAAACATCACAATAATCCACAAGTAATCCACATGACTCCAGTCCACAATTAACATCTTATGAATGGAAAAACTGTTTGTGTAAGAGACAAATCCATTATTAAGACAACTTCAAACTATTGTTTTTGGCTATTGATGAGTCGTCTGTCCATAATATTGCTTTCTCCAGTGAAAAAGTTGTCTTATCTGAATCAGGAGAGAAATATGCAAAGATGAGGCGCCATTTACAAGCAAAAACTGTTCTAAACAAATATGAATTTTGCTATGAGAGGACAACAGGGGAATTTTTCATTGGAGAAATTGTTTGGATTACGGACTTGGATTATGTATTTTGCTCAGAAGTGATGGTTTAAAGTTAAAATGCCTTAATGATGGATTTGTTTTTTTTTTCAAACATGCAGCTTTTCTGTTCACAAGACGTTAATTGTTGGACTGGAGTCATGTGGATTACTTGTGAATTACTGTGATGATTTTATCAGCTGTTTGGACTCTCATTCTGACGGCACCCATTCACTGCAGAGCATCCATTGACGAGCAAGTCATGTTTTTATTTTTCATTGTATGGAAAAAGCAGCTTCTTTTTTTTTTTTTTTCTCAACATCTCTGATCTAATAACTCCTGAGAGGCTCTAGGGCCATTTCTGGGCTCTTTTCTTTGCTCTGTCCCTTTTACTGTGAATTTCTTCATCACCTAATTTTCATTGATCATCACAGGTAGGAAACCCTTACTTTTTTCAGGGTAAAAGCAGTAGATTTCATCTTATCTATTTCATTTCATACACTAGCTAGACCCTGGACTTTAACATGAATTAACACAGTTATAACCGGCCCTTGGCTCGTGGAAGGTTCTGGATCCTGTGTTCTGTACAGCTCCAAACTCAGGGTTTCAAAAAAACGTTCACACTGATAGAGATGCGCAGTAAGAAAGTTCCCTGAAGTCATTCATTTTCATTGAGAGCTTCTGATTCCAGGTAACATGAGCAACAGTGACTGTTGACGATGCAGTGTGGATGTGTCTAGTGGTACAACAAAGTTTAACTTTATGCAAATGAGCTGCAACACCAATAAGAAATTAAGATCTTTCTCCCACAGGAGAATGCTAGTTTTAGTGTTCAGCTCATCAATAACATTACGGCACCCAACAGTATGATGAACACCAAAAATGCACTACCATTCAAAAGTTTAGGGTTTGTAGGAATTTTTAATGCTTTCTTTTGCTCACACAGGCTGCCTTTATTTGATCAAAAATATAGTAAAAATAGAAATATTTTTACCATTTAAAATAGCAGTTTTCTATTTGAATGTATATATTAAAATGTAATGTATTTCTGTGATCAAAGCTGAATTTTCAGCATCATTACTCCAGTCTTCAGCGTCACATGATCCTTCAGAAATCATTCTAATATACTGATTTGCTGCTCAAGAATCATTTATTAGTATTAGCAATGTTGAAAACAGTTGTATGGCTTAATATTTTTTATGGAAACAGATAAAAAAAAAAATTCAGGATTCTTTGATGAATAGAAAGTTTAAAAGAACAGCCTCTATTTGAAATATAAATGTTGTGTAACATTAGACATATCTTTACTGTCGCTCTAATCAATTCAATGCATCTTTGCTGAATAAATGTATATAATCAATCAATCAATCAGTCAATAAATCTTACTGACCCCAAACTTCTGAAGGGTAGTGTAAATAAAATCGCTGTCAGTGTGAATACACTTTATGCTGTCCAGTAGTTCTGGTTCTTCATATCTTAAACTGGACAGCTGAGTGGTCAGAGCCTTTCCATTTACATGATCTCCATCATCACTACTATTGACAATAACAGAGAAAACTCCCCTCCTCACCTCATTAATACACAACATTCTAATCTGAATGAAAGTCCTCTTCTTCTTGTAGTTTACCAGATTTAACTTAACCAAAATAACCAAAAATATAACCTGGGACGAAATAAATATGAATGAATGCATATTTTTTTAATTCACATATTATATTATAATATTATATATTATATTATTAGTGACCCTGGACCACAAAACTGTGTCTTAAGTCGCTGGGTTATATTTGTAGCAATTGCCAACAATACACTGTATGGACCAAAATTATAGATTTTTCTTTTATGCCAAAAATCATTAGAATATTAAGTAAAGATCATGTTCCATGAAGATATTTTGTACATTTCCTACCATAAATATATCAAAACTTCATTTTTGATTAGTAATATGCATTGCTAAGAACTTCATTTGGACAACTTTAAAGGTGATTTTCTCAGTATTTAGATTTTTTTGCACCCTCAGATTTTCAAATAGTCTCAGCCAAATATGGTCAGATCCTAATAAACCATACATCAATGGAAAGCTTATTTATTCAGCTTTTATACATGATGTATAAATCTCAATTTCAAAAAATTTACACTTAAGACTGGTTTTGTGGTCCAGGGTCATATTATATTATACTATACTATACTATACTATACTCCACGTTTGGCTGCTGTATTATTTCTCTCCTCATTCCAAACATTAAAATAAATAAATAAATACGTACTTGCATACTAAGACATTACATTAAGAAAATTACATTTTCTTTTTGTAAAGAAATGCATACATTGCCACAATTTAAATATGTCCACAAAACACATTTCATACAGCTGAATAAATAATAATTTTTGTCCAAACTATGGACTTGGTAGTGTTTCAGAACTTTTATTTTGAATCTTGATTTTAACAAATAGAAGAAATGTCACTGCAAACTTCTTGTGGCAGTTGTGTTTGATTAATAAAAAAAATAATAATTATAACACCGTAGTGTACAAAAAAAAGTACAAACATTTCTGTCCTGTCCTGTCCAGCAGAAATACATGGAGAAATGTTCACTGTAGGGGGAGCTCTTGTGCCGCTGTTCTCATGTTGCTGTCAAACTATGATTATCAAGCTCTTATTATGGAGCTTCTCTCACAGAATAACCGATATTCTCAATGATAAACCCTTCTCTATTCACTCAGAAGCTTCACACTGCATCTCTCCTTCAGTGTCTTTTCATTTTTCACTGTCACAGCATGTGAAACAGTGTTGCTCCAGCTCTATGTGCAAGCCGTGTGTGTGTGTGTGTGTGTGTGTGAATTGCAACAATATTTTGCAGTATTACTGCTTTTACTCTATTTTTTATCAAATAAATGCACCCTTGTTAAGCATAAGAGACTTTCCTAAACATTAAAAATCTTACCAAGCCCAAATTTTGAACAGTAGTGTAAATTTACATACAAATCTAAACAGTAGAGTTAAAAAAAACAAATACATTGAACTGATCCTCATTGAAGACAGAAGCGACCGATTTACTGAAATAAAACCATTTCTCAAAAGTACATATGACATAAGTGAATGCGTTTGGTCACGCTACACTTGTATTTGTTGGATGTTACCGGAAAAGCTAGACTATTTCAAAAACAACTTAACTATTGTCACACTTAGTTAAGTTAGTGTCATCACTTTCAGTCAGTTTCTCCCCAACACTGATCTATTGTCATAAATTATAAGGAAAATGCATACATACATATGTACCTTTGTTTATAAAAATGTCTTGCTGTAAAGTGGTTTTCCAGCTGAATGGTAGGTACTTGTTCGTTCTGTGTTTATATGGCACAATGTGGTGTATAAGTAAGAAAACGGACTGCTCTGATGTGTTAATCATTTTTATTCTCTTTACTTCCTTAAACAGAAGGGTGAAGAGGCCGAGGAAGGAGTCACGAGTGAAGGTACAGTGTGAGAGCTAAAAATTTGGATTTACCTGTATAAGGGTACATTACGGAAATATTAAAATTAGTGCTGTCATATGATTAATCGCGATTAATCGCATCCAAAATAAGTGTTTGTTTACATAATATATCTGTGTGTACTGTGTATATATTTATGTATATATAAATGCACACACACGCATGTATATATTTAAGAAAAATGTTACGTTTATATATTAAATATATTTATATATGATATAAATTATATTCATATAAATGTATACATGTAAATATTTTCAAAATATATGCTGTATGTGTGTCTTTATATATACATAGTAAATATACACAATACACACATATATTATGTAAACAAAAACATTTATTTTCGATGTGATTAATCGTTTGACAGCACTAATTAAAATACTATTTCAAATTTGCATTAACTATATTAAGCCTACTGTATCATATTTGATGCGCAAATTTCTAAGGACTCTAAGTTCACATTCATCTAAAGGTATAACAAACAGATCCACTTGGAACTAATAGATTTTTTGGACTATTATTTAATGGCAAGCTTTAAACTCATGAATGCAGTTGACAGTTGTTCTCCTGATGTCTCTTTAGAGTTTGACAAGTTCTTGGAGGAGCGGGCCAAATCCGCAGACCAGGCTTCACCGCTGGCCCCCGCCGGAGAGCCCAGACCTCCAGTGAGCTCGTCTAGCAGCAACCGCAGGAGGACACAGCAGACGGAGGACAATCTCTTTGCCTTGTAGAACAGTGACGGGACAGATGCTCTCGCTGGTGACCGCAACCACATTCCCTCCCTTTACAAACCTACTGATGTTATACGACAGCAAGACCCCTGTCTAATATCCCCCCCCCGCCTGATAGAGCACTGTGAGAATCCAGCTTCATAACCGCAGACTTTGAGCTGAACGGCGCAGTCAAGCGATGGCTTAAGCAAACATGTAGCCAAAATGATTCTCTTTAGAGAGCTCGCTGCTTTCTTTCCTGTCAAATAATAGTCGAATAGAGCTGATTGGTTTTGTATTTATCGTTCATTAATGAACTAACGCTCTTAAAGTTTGTCGTTCCATGAGGTGAGGTATTCATGTGGGTCAGTTCTTCTGAGTCAGCTATGGATTGTGATTCAATCTGTCTCTGTGGTAAATAGAGCAAGAAAATATTAGATCTTAATCGGGTGTAGGAGCGCAGAGACAGTGGGTCGTCGCTCGTGATTGGCCTGTCTTGTTTATGAGGCTCTGGTGAAGAAAAGTGGCTATATTCTTGTAATCATCATGTGCGGATTACCAAAGACTGAAGAATGAACGCGTTTTCCATCGATAAATGTTTTTGTAAAAATATCTTGACTTTTTCAAAAGAGTTGAGGTTTGCTGAGCCATTGCAGTTTTACGGTTTTAAAAGCACCGTTTGAGGGTATTTTAAAGCATAGATCAGATGTCTGCATATGCAATTTAGTGATCCAAAAATATGAAACATTTGCTTTGAAAAAATGCATCCTAATTTTGGTTATGATGTAGGATTTACTGGAACAGGCTCATTTAAAAACAAATGTCATATGTCATCCCAATATCAAAAGAAATATTTTGATTTCTACAAAACAGTTTTCAGCATTGATACCAATAATAATAATAATAATACAAAATATTTTCATCCGTTTTCAACATTGATAATAATAATAATAATAAATATTTTCAGCTGTTTTCAAAACTGTTTTCAACATTGATAATAATGATAATAATAATTATAAATATATTCAGCTGTTTTCAAAACTGTTTTCAACATTGATAATAATAAAAAATATGTTCAGCTGTTTTCAACATTGATAATAATAAAAAATATGTTCAGCTGTTTTCAAAACTGTTTTCAACATTGATAATAATAATAATAATAAATATTTTCAGCTGTTTTCAAAACTGCTTTCAACATTGATAATAATAATAATAATAATACATATTTTCAGCTGTTTTCAACATTGATAATAATAAAAATATTGTTCAGCTGTTTTCAAAACTGTTTTCAACATTGATAATAATAATCATAAAAAATATTTATTATTATCATCATCAATGTTGAAAACAGTTTTGTAGGAACTGTGGTTATTATTATAATTTTTTTTTCTTGAGCAGCAAATCAGCATGATTTCTGAAGAAATAAATTACATTTTGAAATATATTCAGATAGAAAGTTATTTTAAATTGTAATGATATTTCACAATATTACTGTTTTATTGAAGTTTTTTTATTTCACATCAAATAAATGTGGACTTTTGAGTGGAAGAGACTTCTTTCAAAAACATAAAAAATAATTTAAAAAAATGAATCAAACCCTAGTCATACTGTTAAAAATGTTTACACCACCAGTATTTACACTTTTCAGAGCAATTAACCTACAAAAAAATATTAATAATTTACTCATAATTAACTTCTACAGACTCTATATATTTAAACTGATAGAGGAAAAAAATTAGGCTTGATTTGCTTGATACAATATATCATTTCTGAAATTTCTTTTGTTTTTGGGGTATATGAAATATGACAGACATTTCTTCATTAAATTCGCCCCCTTACTGCATCTTTCTGTCAGATTCCTATTTAAGGATTGATTTCAGTCAGCAAAAATTGGCAGATTTGGCAGTGAAGTTAGGAATGAATGGATATTTTGCTTTGCCCTAACTCTTGCTAGACCTAACCAAGAATTATATTAGCCTAATGGCGTTTGTAAAATATGTATCCATACATATACAAAAATGTGTATATACAATAGAAAAGTGTGTATAGTACTTAAAGTGTGTATTAACTTAAAATACATGTTTAATTGCATCCCTCTTTTTTGTTTTGTCATGAAAGATTTTATGCCATGTGATTTCAGGGCTTTGCAGGATCGCCAGTGGTTTTCATTCCAGTCCGTTTACAGTCACTAACAGCTGTACAGTACAGCTTTTCATTTGAATCATGCTAAATGTTGCACTGCTATCTTCCCAACAACCTGAGGAAGATGTTCTCTTCAGTCTTATATATATATAAAGTAACTGCAGCTAGATCAAGCATGATGCATTTTAAACTCCAAAACCTCAATTGTTAAGCGTCTAATGATGGGAAGGGCTTACATTGTGTTGCCAGTTATACTAACAAACCTCCATCACTCCCCCTAAATCAGTAAATCAGCAGTTAAACATGTAAAACACTGGAGGGCCGTATGATTTACTTGAATATAAGGCACAAGTCACAAGTGGTTTTGATTGAAATGAAATTGCAGCATGTCCAGGAATCAATAATGGCCTGATTTCTTAGCCAAGGCCGTTTGAAAGATAGCTATTTGTTATGCACAAACAGATTACTGTTCATCTTAAAAAACTGCAATATCTATTTTTGTTTCCAGCCTTCTAATTACTTGTAAGAAGGAAAGTGTAATACCTGTAAGTAATATCTGGCTTGTTCTAAAGAGCTCTGCTTTCATCCGGTGGCAATCATTATTTGGATTAACTGCTTAAATGAATGTTGCCATGCGATATTAAAAGTCTTGACTATTTTGATTATTTATCTCATAATGTCTTAAATGTATTTTAGAATAATGAAATGTAATACATTTTCCTATTGTCAGATTTATTGTTTAATCCAAACTATTTTATTAAAGTGATTCATTCGCCTAACGCAAATTTTTTTTTCTGTGTGATTCATTTTAACAAGCTCATTGTTATATCTGTTATATCCAGTTTTTATAAGGTTAGCTTTTTTTAAAAAGCAAACAGACGTTTCTCAACTTATTGTGTGCAAACTTTTTGTCTTCGAGTTCAGTTAAAACTTCATTGGTTGCGTTTATGTGATCAAACTACATGTTTTAAGTACTGAATGGGGATGCAGTTGCCAGCTTAAGTTGTGAAAATTACATTTATGACTATTATTTTATTGTGACACACAACTACGTTTTAAAACATGAGTTAAAAAAATTTAAATCTCTATCCAGTTTTCTATTTTTATACTAGTGCTCTTTCCACGTTATTTTTCAAGCTATTTTCTGTGAAAGCATGAGACATCCGAATTATTCAACGGTAAAAGTATTTGCGCTACAAACTAGCGTGTATGATTACGATGGTAAATTAAAACAATATGATAAGAAATACCAGTTTGTAATGTCAGAATAACGGACTATTTTTGTACCGCTACCGGAAGTCTTACAAATGGCCGCGCCCGTTCTTATATTAAAAGTCCCATATTGTACACCTTTCTGGAGTTTTATTTTAGGTTTTGATGTCCTTAAGAATATATATTTGCGGTATAAGTACCAAAAACCATCTCAATATATTTTTACAGCTCCTCTCTCAGGACATAACAGGTAGATTTTATGTGATCAAACTACATGTTTTAAGTACTGAATGGGGATGCAGTTGCCAGCTTAAGTTGTGAAAATTACATTTATGACTATTATTTTATTGTGACACACAACTACGTTTTAAAACATGAGTTAAAAAAATTAAAATCTCTATCCAGTTTTCTATTTTTATACTAGTGCTCTTTCCACGTTATTTTTCAAGCTATTTTCTGTGAAAGCATGAGACATCCGAATTATTCAACGGTAAAAGTATTTGCGCTACAAACTAGCGTGTATGATTACGATGGTAAATTAAAACAATATGATAAGAAATACCAGTTTGTAATGTCAGAATAACGGACTATTTTTGTACCGCTACCGGAAGTCTTACAAATGGCCGCGCCCGTTCTTATATTAAAAGTCCCATATTGTACACCTTTCTGGAGTTTTATTTTAGGTTTTGATGTCCTTAAGAATATATATTTGCGGTATAAGTACCAAAAACCATCTCAATATATTTTTACAGCTCCTCTCTCAGGACATAACAGGTAGATTTTGGACTGTCTAATTAATATTCATGAGCCTCTCTTCTGATTGGCCTGTTGTTTTCTGAGTGACGCACGGCCAGGCCAACCACAGGTCAGCCGACGTCACAGCGCTAGCTGGAGGCAGCAGTGCAGATTCGGCTACATAAGGAGCTTAAAATATCATCTTGTTGTGATGTTGGGTGCCAGAATCGACGTAATACAGCCTCAAATTAGAAATTTGATCGCATATCTGCTGCCACTGCCAGACAAAAAACTGACGACAGCTGTGGTTAAACGCGATAAAACGAGCAGACTGGACAGAAACGATCGTCAAAAATGCTCGCGTTTGCAGCGCACACTTCTTATCAGAAAAGGTTAAATAAAGTAGTGTCTTTTGTTGTTATGGGTGCGTCTACAGATTTCTTACCATATGTCAATGTGTTTTGCATCTCACGATTATGTTGTGTATGAAATAATGTCTGTGTGCATGTGTGTAAAACAACAAACTGACGATTTATATATAATCATTTGTAATTGTATATACATTGTTGTGATTAATTGTGGCTGGAACAATAATGTAGCTGTAAAAATAGTTGCCTGCTGAAATTGAAATGTATATACATCTTCATCATGACTAGATAGACACGGTGAGTTTGTAACATAGTAACAATCCTATCAGATCGTCCATCCTTTGAGTGAGAGTGTAACGTTACAGGTCGGCCGATCTGGTTTCGTGGTTAAAGTTAACCTTTTCGACATGGTTCCGTGTTGTTGTCGTTGCTCAGCAATGGCATGGAGGCGATGTTGTCTGGGGGTGTGGCAAAAGGAGAGTGGGACTGTGGGCGGTGCTCGGGGGGGTGACTGAAGGCGGCGACTGTGTAGTTCTGGCGTCAACGTATTACGGAAGTCACAACGGTTCGTGAAAAATCACAGCTACTTTATGCAGGCTGTGTGCATTTTACTGTGGACTGACTGTTTTGAAACTTATATGGTAGTTAAATAGCCCCTAGACCTCAGTTATCGTGAAAAAAGCCAGGAAATTTCAGTTTTGACAATATGGGACCTTTAAAAATAAGTCGGATAAAACCAAAAGTCCCTTTATATAGTATTCTGAATCTATAGTCTTTGATAAAACAGAACATTACAGGTGTAGCTACTTATAGAGTATGCTTAAATAAGCTCAGATGAAAAGTACACGTTGCCTACAGCAGTTATATTTGGGTAAACCAAGACATTAAAAACGCAATGCAATAATCCAATAATGATATTGTATGGTTGATGCAATCCGGGTGTTTAAAACATATTAACATAATAATAGCAGCGTTACTTACGTTAACAACAAATAATAATAGTATGCTAGTTTGCATTTAAAAGATGCTCTTGTATTATGTTAGTTTAAACAGGAGTCTCTTTAACCACTGATTGGATTGCAGTAGAGCTGCTGAAGAGCTTCATGGAGAAAAGACTGCCTCCTTCAGCAAACACTTGTGTATTTCATGTGCTTCAGTCATTCGGCGGGTGTTACTCTCGGTCACTGACCCACTTCCCCTCAGTTTGTTGATACGAGTTCAGTGACATATAGAATTCTTTAACTTTGTAAACACAAAGTCAACTAATTATTTAGGGTCAGATCAATCCATCCTATTTATAATAATTTCTTGATCAATTTGTGTGCATATATTTTCATTTTTGAGTGTGTAATATAATGTGTGCATATATTGGATGCATTTAATTTATTTCTATATAAGAACGTGTTTT